CTAGGGTCACAAAATGTTGCCAAGTACTTTTCTACCTATTAGCATCATAGCTCTGTTACCACAGCAACATACATTTGACCCGTTTTCAATAGTCCCTTAAAAGGGTTCCCTGGTTTTTAAGGTTCGCTGGAAAAGCATTCAATTGATGATTTCAAGATTTATGACTTCATCATCCCATTATGAGGCTCCAAAGCCTTGTTATTAGCTCTCTACTAGTAACAGATATAGTCCAGATCTTTATCATTCTCGTGCCATTCAGAGCGCTGAGCATGCTGGCCTCAAGTCTGAGGGTTCGGAAAACGAAGGCTAGCATTGGACACTTTGGTCAGCATGGCCCAGCTTCCATTCCTCCTGGTGGTCTTCTAGGGACCAGTCCTGGTTTACTTCCCATGCATGTGAAGGAAGTGAGGGGCAGAGGCCGGGTCGGGCAGAGAACATCATCCCCGGGAGAGCCCTTCATGGCAGCGGCAGCCTCCCGGAGGGCTGCCTGGTATGGGTGGCCACGTCCAAACGCATCCCCCCCTCCCCCCTCCCCCCCTCCCTCCCAGTATGCGTGGCAGAGGGACTGAAGCCAATGCCATGAGGTCATGGAGTCCTCGCCCCGCCCGGGCCAACCTGGGCCCTGACTCAGTGAGCCGCGCCGCCCACTTTGCCTGCAGGGTTCCTGCCCGGCCCAGAGAGGCTGCGGGCCCTTCGGATACGGCACGGCCACTGTGTGCAGGCGGTCAGAGTGGTGGAGTGAATGGCCCAGGCTCAGAGCTGGCAAGCGTGTGGACCCCAATCCTGTGGGGAGTGTGGCCTTCAATGCAGCCACCCTTGCCCCTTCCGCCCCCCCGGCAGCCCTTCCCCAGCCCCCACTGCCCCTCCCTGGCCCCCCATTGCCCTCCCTGGCCCCCCACTGGCCCTTCCAGCCCCCCAATGTACCTCTCAGGAGGGGGCCCCCCACTGCCCCTCCCGGTCTCCCACTGCCCTTCCCCAGCCCCCACTGCCCCTCCTGGCCCCAGGGTCCCTGCGGGCACAGCCTTACCCCCGAGGACACTGCCAGGAGCCGTCCAGGACCCTGGCGTCTGCTCCCGTAGGACTCTGGCATCGCCCTCCGAAGGAGGGGCTCTGTGAGGCCTCTGGGTGCTCAGCACACAGGCAGGATACAGCGCAGCCAACGCCACGTGTGCGGGGACCGCAAGGGATGGCCTGGGCCCATCTGGCCCCCGGTGCCTGGCCCCTGGGACTGGCCTCGGGCGGCAGGCGGGGACTCTGGGTGTCCCTTGCTGTGCCCCCCCGCCTTGGCCTCCAGGTAGAATACAGGACATGGGTGAGGTGGGAATCCCAGGTGAATGCACTGGGCTAACGGGTTTGCCTGAAATCCCCATGTCACTGGCTCAGGTTTCCTTGGGCCTGGGTGGCCCTGACCGACCACTGTGCCTGGGACCCAGTGGGCACACCCATGCCTGTGACCTTTGAGAAAGTTGTGGGCTCCAGGCTGTGCGGGATCCCGGGCCCCGGGAGCAGAGAGGCTCCGGAAACCACGCTCGCTCATGCGGCCTGTGATGGAGAGAAGGTGCCCCACCAGGCCCTGTCCTGGTCCACTGGCTGTTGGCACAGACAGCAGAGTCCTCACACGGCCCACGCTTTGCGAGGGAGGAAAACAACTGAAGCCAC